GTGTGTGTGTTTGTCATCAATATAGAAAATTCAAATCTGATGTAATGCCCGGGATTTGTCAGGTATTATGTTGCTTTCTAATCAAGTTATAATTATTGATATGTTGGAATTTTGGGGTGAAGACGTACGCTAGGCGTACAAGGTGTACGCATGGTGTACATACATGAGGCGCAGAGCGGGGAGTCCCCATGCATACGCTGGGCGTAGGTTGATCAGATGCAAACCCTAAATTTTAGGGTTGGCACCCTATTTAAGCAACTTATAATCCTTTAAAACCTTATCCTCTCAACCTCCCTTGTCCTCATAGTGCCAAACTCGAACCCTAACTCCAATGCATGTGTGTTGAGCTTACTTTGAGCATTTTAGTGTTGTTTTGGTGGTTTTGAAGATCAATGAGCTTGAAGAAGGAGCAAGGACTTGAAGAAAGCTTTTAGATCCAGAAGTTTTGCATCTTTTCTGACTCATTTGAGGTATCAAGCTCCAACCTTGACAATTGCATGCTTAGAAATAGTTTTGGAGTGTTTTATGTCACATTTTGGTCCCATATTTGAGGTCCCTTGGGTTTTGAAATAATTTGTCCATAAGAGTTGTCCTTTTATGCTCTTGGAAGCATTTAGGACCATAAAAATCAGATTTTGACGGTTTAGCCCCAACGATGCAAGTGATAGATGGCCACAAGGTGAGCTTATGGAATTAATGGATGTCTTAATCCCCATACATGCATGCAAAAGCATAAAGTTTATAGCTTTATGGTTAAGGATGTTGTTAGGAGCCTAGATCTACGTTCTTGATGTTGGGACATAATGGATTAAGTCAAAAGAAGGATTTTAGGGTGAATGGCAGGAACGTTGGGTGTACCCCCTAGTACACTGCGCATTCCGGGTCAGCTTCCCACTTTTGGTCAAGGCCATCATACACCGTACGTATGCATGCAGAGTGGTTATCATGGGTTTTTGGGCCTTAGGAGATTGGGCCTAAATTTTTTGGGCCTCATGACCCACTGTTGAGTAAGGCCTCTAAGACTAGGACTAAGATTTATGTTATTGGGCTTTGAAGCTTAAAGGAATGGACTTAGGCCTTAAATTGATTATGGGTTGGACCTTGAGGGAAAGGCCCATTAGGGCAAGGACAAGGGGACCTTGTCTTGGGATCTGAATTAGAAGTTGGGCCATAAGGAAGTCATAGTTGGACCCAATAACTAACTAGGGGAATTATTATGCTTTAGGGAGAGGATTCTGGAGCCATCCGAGGAGTACGATTTCAGCACACACAATTGAGGTGAGTTACCTTCCCGGTATAAGTGGGTCGAAGGCACCAATGTCGGCCCACTAGTAGTTGTTTACAATAGAGATGATTGTCTTTGTGATAATTGTTTAGTATGTCACTATCTGTTGATATTTAGGTACTTGTATGCTATGTTATTATGTGGTTGTGGTAGGGGTAAAGCAGACCACGTAATTGGTCGAAGAGACCGAAGAGGTAGGCCAGCACCCATATATGCTAGGCAGTATGTGATATATGTGCTTATATGCTATGTTATTATGTGGTAGTGGTAGGGGTGAAATAGACCCCTTAACCGGTTGAAAGTGGCCGAAGGGGTTGGGTAGCACCCATATATGCTAGGTAGTTACCGATTGAAAGAGACCGAAGGGGTAGGCCAACACCCTGATATGCTAGACGGTTACCAGTTGAAAGAGACCGAAGGGGTAGGCCATCACCTTGATATGTTAGGCAGTACCAGTTGAAAGAAACCGAAGGGGTAGGCCAGAACCAAGATATGCATGGCAGTATGTTTATTGTATGGTATGTGGTATGATGGGGGAAGTCATTAAGTTTCGTGCTTACGGTTTTCAGTTTTGGTTTCAGGTACCTCTTCTTCAAAAGGAAAGGAGTCGGCATGATCATAGCGCATCACACTATGATTTTCCGCACATGAGATCTTTGGGAGTTATACTATGATGATGTTTCTTATGACATATTTTGGATATTGATTTCGATTATGACATGTGATGACACTATTGATGTGTTTAGACTATTGGCTTTTATAATTACGTAATTAAAAATGAAAATTTTTGGTCATGAATTTTAGGATGTTACAAGTTGGTATCAGAGCCTTGGTTTGAGGGATTCGAACACACCTTTGGGGCATCTAGACTCAAATCGAGGGTTTGAGAGATTTTTACAATAAAAAGTAATTTTTTTCTAAAAATAAGATTAAGTGTTTTTATAAAGAACAAAGAGTGTGATGTGTGCAATCGGCCGGGCTCAAGTAAGTTTTCCCCAAGATACCCATACATGTTATATTATGATATGAAGTGTGAATATGTGAACTACATGCTAGATTAGGGCTAAGGGTCTAGGAAGGATGCCTTTTATGCCTACTGTATATGCTTATTGAACTGCATGCTAGTACTGATTAGTCAGTGATATGATGGTATGTTTAGGATATGCCTAGTTTTGGTTACTAAATGCTCGAATGCTGCTTGCTTTATGCTTTTAGAAGTTCTAATTATCTTTAATTAACTAGTAAATGAATACGTTAAGTTACATATTACGAGGACTAAATAATTTTAGAAGGTTAGGCCTATCCTTATTTCACAGCTCTTGTCTAAGTCCAACCGTTATAGGGTCGGACCTCTCATTTGAAGAATTATTTGGTCTTAGTAATATGTAATGGTATTCATGAGCTAGTTAGGGGGAGATAACAGGGACTTCTTATGCAGCTAATGGCGGAGAGTGGGTCGGAGATTATCCTAGGGCAAGCCTAGGATGAGATTATTCGATTGCGAATTGTATACAAGGATAGGAAGCGACTTTTGTAAACCAAGGCAAAACAGGAGGAAAGTACGGATAGATAAGGAAGGTAGTATGGGCCCATACTACTGAAAGCAGAGGATCCGTACTTGACTCTTGGAAAGCTGCAGGGAACCAAGAGTGGCAGAGTGTGAGACCTCTCGATGTTATGTATAACCCTGAAAATTGTTTTTTTTTTCTAGAATGGTTGTGATGCATCAAGGAGCAGGGGGTTTAGGATCTGAGACAGGTTCGGGTACAAGTTCCGAGCCAGTTGATGATGGATTGTGTGATTTCATTGCATCCTAGATTATGAGATGCATCATTGAGTTGACCGTGGTGATTTTCAGGTCGATCAAGGAGGGTATCATTGAGCTAATGGAGGATCACCTTAAGGCACTTAGGAGTGACATGGCACCTAGCCAGTTAGGGACTCGTATGCTCTCCTTCAAGGATTTTAGGGGATGCGGAGCACCAGACTACTACAAGGTGAAAGACCCCATTGTGGCTAGGAGATGGATCGCAGACATTAAGTCTGAAAAAGTGATGAGGTTCTTCCCTTAGGGGTCGAAGGTCAGATTTTTTTCAAGTGTTTGAGGGAGTGAGCTAGAGACTATTGGGAGGCATTCGGTGATACATTAGGAGCCTCAGCCATTGAGGCCATGACCTGGTCGGATTTTGTGTCCAGGTTTCGGGCGGAGTTTGCACCAGGTGTGGAGGTTCAACAGCTGGCTAATGAGTTTTTTTGATATGAGACAGACTATTGAGACGGTGGCGGGGATTACTACCAAGTTCAGGGAAAGGGCCTTGTTAGTTCCCTAGTACGCGAGTGATGATGAGATGAAGAAAACCCGGTACCATGATATGTTTAGATCTGACATCCAAAAATATGTTAGCTATTTGGCGTGCCTAAATTTTAATGATATGATAGCCAGGGCGCGAGAGAAGGAGATTGATATAGAGCACATCAGGAAGAGGAAGGTGGAGATTGGGCAGACAACTAGGGTTTCTGTTAGGATGAAATCCGTAAAGATCGAATAGGTTAAAATGGGTAAACAAGAACCTGATATGATCAAACTGGTGCTTAATGACTAACAGTCACACCTTGGAAGACCTCGACAAAGAATTGCTTTTGTAGAGGCGTAAAATAGGGTTACAAATATAATATCAAAACTTAACTAAAACATGTATCATGCATTCATCTATATACTATAACCCTAACAGTAAATACGAGTGGACAGGCCTAACTCATTTTTACAAAATAGGCCCAATGACGCAAAACTTTATCTTCAACAAACAGCCCCTTTGCGTTAATTGAAATCATAGCCCTTCAGTTCTTTATTCACGTCTACACTTCGTAGATCTTTGGAATGAAGCTCAACAGCCGCTTGCGAACCTAGATATACCATGTGATCATATCATAGAAACATTTCAAGTCATCCTTGTGGATGCCCTTGAACTTCGTAACCAGCTCCAAAAATAAACTTCAGACAAGTAGTAGTATACAAGTGTTTGTCTTCAAGAATAAAATATAGCTTCTGATGTTCTGCTCCGTGACGATCTCTAGACATGTACACAACAAACCATCCTTCCTTGTAAATTTTTCTTGGTTTGATCTTCTCGAAGTTATTCGGAGCTTCCATAGGAACAACACATGGTTTCGTCCTCAAAATTGTAGCAATATCCACATCCATCTATCCAACCTCCTGAATGTAAGACTTGATCATAATTTGGAGATGGATCATCATAGGTTCGTCCTTCTCCTTTTCTCTTAGCAACATGTTGTATAGCACTATCCAGTCATGGGGGTTCAAGCAGGGCATGTCTACGAGTGTGAATTTGTAGGCTTGACATGTTGATCCTCACACAACATTAAACTTCACATTAGGGAAGCTTTCGGTCTCGATCAGCCCAGTGACTTTCACAACGGCAATCTTGTAAATACTCCAAGTCTCGTGTTGAGGCTTCATGTGCTTTAAGTAAAAGGCAAACAACATCTGATCATCCCTATTGTCTGTGAGAGGTGCATCAGCAACCTTCACGGAGGCACGAAACTTGAAGGTCTTTGGAGTAAGTGGAAGGTCCAACTGTGAATCCTGAGAATTTTGAACTTCAAAGGATGCAACTGGATCCAACTAACATTAGCTCGGTAGATCCACAGCCTCATTTTGAATCCGCTTCAGGGTCCACTTGGGGAATAGCATCATTCAGCTTCTAAGTGTGGCCTGATCTTCTTTATCAGCCTTTTCCTTTTCTTCTTCCTCTCTGACAATGTGAGCATTTTTGTCCAACTCCGCCTCACGAGCCTTCCGCCTTTTAAGCTCAGCTTCATCTGGCTCTTCGTCTCCTTCATCATTGATAATGGGTTCATCGTTAAATAGCTTTTCTTTACACTTGGGTTCTTTCTTGATGACAGGAGGATTGACCAAAGGGTTCACTAGAGCTTTGGGGGGTTCATTCAATTGAACTTTGGAGCCACCTTTTCCCCCTTCTTGCAAAATCGACACCGGTTTCATAACACCTTCCAAACGGTGCAACATAGCGAACACCGAGCATAACTTCTTAGCCAGATGCTTCTTTATAGTGATGGAGATCATGCGATCACAAGTATCAATGATATCAAAGAGCAATCCAGTAATGTCGAAGATACAACTTCTAGTGACAGCATTCTCCGATAGAAAATCATCGACATGCTTCTCAGTGTAGCGAAGCTTTGTTTCCAACACTTTACATTTTTCTTCTTTAATGGTCAGAGCATCCATTATTTTTCTCTCCATCACCAGTTGCTCCTAAAGCTTTGAGATCTTTGCATCGATGGAAGACTGGAATGCTTGATTATCAGACTGAAACTCCTTGCGAAGATCAATAAAGTTCGTCCTTTCTGCTTTAAACATGGTACCAACATTCTGAATGGCCTTGTTCACAGTGATGGTGTTGGAGTTGTAGGTAGTCTTGTAATCTTCCATGAACTTTATGGTGTTAGCAATTAGTTTATCGACTTTTTCGGTCATGGATTTGCAAACTTCATTTGAATCAGAAACTACCTTGGTCATAGTAGAGGTGTTAGCTGCATGTTCCTTTGTGACCCGCTCAAGAACGAACTCAACAGCTGCTTTGGAGTAAGCCTCAGAAGAAGAAGCTTTGGATGCGAGAATCAGCTGGTCGATATTCTCATGAAGAGACTTGAGTTCCCCTTTCATAGCAGAGGCTTCATCTTCACTATCAATCCTGATTTGAAAAGGACTGTAAGTGAATCCGACCACATCATCTACGAAAATCATGTCTGGGTCATCGGTGCGAATGGGAGAGATGGGTGGAGTAACATGGCTTGAAAAACCTAAAGTGTTAGCCCCCGTATCAGATAAGTTGATTGAAATTATAGGTGCAGTAGAGGCTTGGGGTGAAATGGTGGATTCTGTGAAGATAGGGATTGAAACTGGAATAGATGTCGGTGGTTGAGATGAAACAGACAGAGGACAAGATGCAATAGTAATTGGTGTAGAGGCGGTTGTTTTTTGGGAGGGAGGAGTAGAAGGAACATAATCATTTAATGGTGGAGTTACCTCAGGAGTCTGGGTGGAACTTTAGTGGGAACAGGAGGTTCGTTGTGAACGTGTTCGTCCTCCTTATTACGAACTGGCCCTTGATCTTCAATGCAAACTAGCTGCTTCTCCTCAATGAGAATCTACAACTCGGAGTCGGATTCAGAATGTTCGCCTTCACTCTGGGATGGAGAAGGAGTGGGAGATTTTCTCCTTTTAGCAGGTTGCTTTCTTCTCTTTGGTGCACCAGTAGACGCAACAGGATCCTTTTGCTTTTTCAATGGAGTTTTCGTACCCTCTGAAGGTCCTTCTTTTGTAGCGTCTTTCTTGGAAGCTTTCTTCGACCCTTTTCCCCTTTCTGACCTTTGTCCGCCTCAACCAGGATCGCTTGGAATTCAGCGGTCATTGGGCGAAATCCTAAGGGACTAAGAGGGCGATAACCCTCAAGGATTTTGTTGGTGGCAGGCACATCACTAAACATGGCCTTTGGTATTGATCTAATGAAGGAAAATTTTGAAGGATCCTCCACAATGATGTCGGTAGTATGAAGTGTTGCAATAGGAGCCATCAGTGCATCAGACATCACTGGAATCTTGAGTTGTTGAATCGCTCTGTGAACAATGATTGTCCAGAATCTCACACAAGAGATCTCACTGTGATGAGTAGTCAAGTGAGTGCTCTGGATAACTTGAGCCCTGAGGATGGAACCATAATCAACATTTTCTTTGGTATAAAGACCATACATTAGAACCATGAAAAGCTTGCTCTCGCTGTCACTACTAGTGACCCTTTCAGAAAAGGCTTTAAACAAGATGGTGAATAGGACGTTCCATGTAGGTGGAAGATTGGGTTTCTTGAACTTGGAAATGTTGGATTAATGTCTAAGTCCATAACTATAATTGGTAAGACTTGACCCGACCTGACATGGTCCATTTGGGTTGCATGGCATCGGGACACTTGGATAGACATGATGTGGAAAAAGGATACTAGTGATTTATATTAATATATTATAAGGTCTAATATATTAATATATAATCATATTTTTAATTAGTATTGATCAAGAATTAATTTATAATTAATTAAGTGATCAAAAGGAACTAATTAAGTATGGACTCTTAGATATATATGTGTGATAGGCCAAGTTCATTTAGGTTGGGCTAAGCTTTCATGGATAGTCCATGGAGTGTTTAACCCATGGATCATATGAAATGAAGGGTCATGGGTTTAACCCTAGTCTCCAGACTATATAAAGATGTCCTTGGTTGGTAAAATGGACTAGTGTGTGTACACAAAAGGGCAAGACCGATTTCACTAGAGAGAACCAAAGTATCCTTATTCTCAAGGTTATTCCAAGTGTTCATGGTGTTGTATGAACCATTTGAGGTGTCACACTTAGGGCACTAGGCACTCAAGCTTCATGAAGACATTCTACATCAAAAAGGTATGTAATTCTAACTTGAGATATTCATATGAATCAATGTTATTATGCTAGTTAGGATGAATACCTTGGAAAGTTCATATTTGAATGTATAATAGAGAAAACATAGATCCAAGGTATTTAGAGTTGCATGTACACTTAGGAGTTTTAGAATGCTCAAAACGCAATAGGAAACAACAGTGAGAGTTTCCTTGTACCCCATTTAATAAAACATTTCCAAGATAGCAATATTAGAAATGGTTTCTGGGTTGACCATGTTATCAGAATGAGGAAGCCCTAACAGATTGTAGAAATGGGCTTTGGAAATAAGGTCGACTGGTTATGTATGTCGAAGTATATTTTTTGTTTATCTTTGATATAGTTGGCCGTTGTGTATGCCTTGGAGAGAATCGAGATCGGAACATTCTCAAGTTAAGTCAAAGCAATGGTGAGAGGGGACTATTTCAAGCACTCTATAAGAGGGAGCAAGAAAGGATCATACTTAACTGGATCCGGATCGATGATGAGGTTTTGGTGTTTCTTGATGGCCAGAAGAGTTGACTGAGTATTTTGTTCATGAACAGAAAGATTCTCAGATGATCCTGCCATTGATGAAGCTTGGAGAAGAAGATGAACAGTAGAGGACTTTTTGATCATTGGAAATTTCTTTAAGAACTTTGAAAGTGGTAATAAGAGATGGAACCTTAAAAATCTTTATATATGATTCGATATGTGAGCAAAATCCGGAGAGAGAGTGTATCGTTTACTGAATCGTCTCCTGAAAAAGCACGATGTGACAAATGTGAATTGTTAGATACGTGCGTCATGCAGCGTAGTAATAGTTGTCCGTTCATCTTTGCACGCACCAGTTTGAATTCTTATCTTTTAAATTTTTCCGCGTCAGCTCATCTCCATTCGCATTTAAGAAAGCGCTTTTGATTCATATGAAAGTTAAAAGACACGAACGTGGGTACAACTATGAACCAGAAAATTATTAGTAACCACGAACTAGACTTTTTGAAAATCACTAGGATCTTCATGTAAGAGTGTCAAAGAGAAAGAAATAAAGCGAAGAATATCTATGGGAATTAGTGATGTCTAAATAAAGACATAAAACTGTTGATCCCAGGCAAAGATCTCTTCCTTCATAGTCAAGAGAGAATAATAAGTGTCTATGTGGTTTCCTGTTGAATACAATCAAATGTTGGATAAGAAACATTGAAAGGCATCTTTTCATGAGGATTATAAAGGATGGTTCATCCTTCAACCAAACTACTAACTTGACATAATTGCGAAAGTTGGTAGAAGTACTCATGTGACCAGCGTAGTGAGTTGAATGAGTAGGTTTGGAATTCTGTTAGTGACTTGGATAAGTATTGAATCTCAAAAATAAAATAAAAACTGGATCCATTGGGAAGAAATGTCTTGGGACGAGAGCATTTCATTAGGATCTCAAAAGATATTTCTTAGTACTGACCACGAACGTGGACTTTTGTTAATTCGTCGGTGAAAATATTACAACATATAATTTTTCACTATCAATTCATATAAGGTATTGAATTTTAGGTTTCACTCAGATCGTGGTAGAACGAAACTAAGATCATTAACACAGATGTTATGTAACCATAAACCTCAGTGGTAATTTCTGAGAGTCTCAAGGGTTACATGTATGGATGTGAAAGTGATGGAGAAGATAGTAGATGGTTACAAGAAAGCGAAAGTACCTCTGCAATGCGAAAGTGACCATGCAGATAACTCTTAACTCAATGTGAGAAGAGTAAGGTAGCTCATGACTAATGTGAATTCGTAACCTGATTGGGAAGAATTGATTGGTAGTATCAACTCATTAAGGCTTCATAATTGATTCGTTGAGGCTTAGGTCAACATGTAGTAGCATGTTTCTAAGGACACTTAAATAATACATAAGTAAAGAGATTTATACCTGCCCCATCACACAAATGGATAGATGTTGTGAACATCTGATGGTATGATCGTAGTGTGAACCTATTGAATGCTTTTGAAAAGAAAAGAAATAAAAATAAACACAAATTAAAAATCTTTTTGGATTTTAATTTTCTGAGAAACACAACAAAAAATAGAAGAGACTAAACTATTTTTGGTTTTTGAGATTTTCTGAAAAACAAAGAATAAAAAAACAAATAAACTAATTTTGGTTTTTGAAATAAAAAGAGAAAATATACGAGCTGAAAATAAAGATAAGCAATAATATACAAAAAGTACAAAAGGATATATGAAAAACCAAACCACGAGTGAACAGTGGACTGCGAACTACTGTGAACATTCACTTTGCATTCAGAAAGTAGAGTGTGAATGAACAATTGACTGTGAACTACTGCAAACGTTTGCACCGATTCGCAGTGTAACTTTATGAGTGCAAAATTGGTTTTGGTACAAATTCAACTTCCATCATTCCCAGCCCTTGAAGTATTCTATTGAAGGTTGCTTCAGGTAAGGCCTTGGTGAATATGTCGGCCAATTAATCAGCGGATCTTACAAAATGAATTTCAACATTGCCATCTTCCACATGATCCTTGATAAAGTGATACCTTAGTGCTATATATTTCGTCTTTGAGTGCTGCACTGGGTTGTGACAAATGCGAATGGTACTTTCGGTGTCACAATAGAGAGGGATTCTTTTTATACTTAGGCCGTAATCATGAAGCTGGCTTTGAATCCAAATGACCTAAGATGTGCACGAAGCTGCAGCTATGTATTCATCCTCAACTGTTGACAATGAAACGCATGTTTGTTTCTTCGATCGCCAACTCACCAGCTTCCCATCAAGATATTGGCATCCACCAGTTGTGCTTTTTCTATCTAAACCGCAACCCCCTAGGTCAGCATCTGAAAATGCTTGTACGAAAAATCCTCAGTTTGCAGGATAGCATATTCCAAGAGATGACGTTCGTTCCAGATACCTGAGAATGTTCTTGACAGCCACCATATGAGGTTCGTGTGGCTTGGCTTGGAATCTAGTACAATAACCAACGGAGAACATAATATCCAGTCTACTAGCTGTTAGATACATGAGTGATACAATCATCTGACAATAAAGGGTCATATCAGCAACTGGTTTATCCAGTGGAAGAGTCAGTTTTGTTCCAAATGTCATTGGAACCTTCTTCTTCGAGTCTCCCACCATTCCAAACTTAGCAAGTAAGGTCTTTGTGTAAGCTTCCTGATTAATGAAAATTGCTTCCTGTCCCTGTCTAATGTTTAATCCAAGAATAAAGTTAATTGGACCCATTGAGATCATCTCAAATTTAGTTTCCATCATCTTTCGGAACTCATCTGTAAGGCTGGGATTAGTAGATCCGAAGATGATATCATCAACGTAAATTTGTACGATCATCAAGTGGTCACCCTCTTTCTTGCGAAAGAAGGTTGGGTCAACCGAACCTTGTTTGAATTTGGACATTTTAAGAAAATGAGTTAGTGTTTCATACCAGGCTCTTGGAGCTTGTTTTAGACCGTAAACTGCTTTGTCAAGAATATAATAGGGTTAGGATATTTTTCATTTACAAATCCAAGCGGTTGCTCCACATAAACGGTCTCTTCCAGTTCGCCATTTAGGAATGCACACTTCACATCCATTTGAAAAACTTCAAAATTCTTGTGTGCTGCATATACCAAGAAGATGCGAATAGATTCAAATCTTGAAATGGGTGCGAAGGTCTCTTCGTAGTCAATCCCCTCTTCCTGGAAATAACCTTTGACCATGAGTCTAGCTTTGTTTCTGATCACTTTCCCTTCTTTATCTATTTTATTCCGAAACATCGATTTTAAACCAACAACCGATGCATCTAGGGGAGTTGGAATCAATCTCCAAACTTTGTTTTGTTCGAACTCATTGAGTTCATCTTGCATCGCTTGCACCCAATCAGATTGATTGAGAGCAATGTTGACAGTTTTGGGTTTAATCTTGGATACGAACGAATTAAACATACAAAATTCTAATTTGGAGAATA